TTATCCTCCAAGAATCTTAGATTTGGGGGGGGGGGGGGTTGCACAAATCGTTCCTTCACAGATTCAGTCGAGCGAAGAAAATTGAAGAACGAGAGGTTCTGTCAATTTAGTAGCGTTAACCGGAGGATTGTGGAAGGAAGGTTTGAGTTCGAATTGTTGGTGTTTGAAATCAGCCAGGCAAGAGTTGAAGACCAGAGGGTTGTTCAAAGGTGATGTTGTAATCGGAGGTTTACTCATCACGTTCGAAGGACTTGATTTATCTTGAATCAAGGAAAGATAAGGCATAGGCTCAACATCAACGTTTGGGATTGAGTGTTTGAATTCTATTGCTTCTCTTGTAAAAACAATTTGCAACAGGCTATATATACAGGTCTCAATTCTATTTTTAGAATTGAGGGCAGACGTACCCTGAGCGAGGACGACGAGGGAACTGCCCCAACAAATTGGTTTTCTCTCTTTTTACTATTTTCATTGCTGAATTTTGAGTTTGTGTGCAAACATATTAGTTGACTAGAATTCTGGTGTGTTATTGCTAAAACATTTTTTGAAATGTCATTACAATCCGTTTGATTGTAATCGTAAAATCTTAGCACTTCATTCACTTATTGAATTTTACTTGGGGTGCTTCGCGCACCAAGTGTTCGACTAATTGCGTGAATATAAACACTTGAGTTGTTTTTCAATTTGGTTTATATTTTCACAAGCATTAGAAATTATCCAACTTTGAGTGAACAAAATCTTATTGATTTGTGTTCAAATTATTGATTCTAATTCTCGTCTTTATCGATATTCCATATAGGCGTAACATATATCCGATCTTTTTGGTAACAGTTCGTTTAGACGAGTATAGTTCCTCGGCCGCTTCAGCTTAAAACTTTTAAAATTAAATTATATGAAGCACCAACTCTATTTTAAATAAGTGATCTATTCAAACGCCCTTCTAGATCATTGTCGTCGTCATATATATATATATATATATATATATATATATATATATATATATATATATATATATATATATATATATATATATATATATATATATATATATATATATATATATATATATATATATATATATATATATATATATATATATATATATATATATGAATTGTACACTTCAGCCATTTTTTAAGTGATTTACTTTTAGAAAAATAATTTGAATAATAGAAATAGATTATTTACGTAACTAATTCTTACAAAATCGATCCGTAAGGTGACGAGTGTAATTTTATATAATTCTTTTTTCAAGCTCTATCTCTAATCAATGTGACACTTGAGATCTTTTCAATACACTCATCGACATCCAACATTCTATTGGATTTGATGCGTGTATATAAATCAATGTTTTAAAATTTTGATCGAACCCGTCGGTTCAATCGGTTGGAATGAGAATTAAATATTAATTAGGTTGGTTCAACCTTTCAAAACCGCAAGTGAGTCAAAATCAGAGTTAAACTGAAAAAATCGAATTGAACCGTCCAAAACCATTCGAAACAAAGAACCGGAGATGATTTTGTAAAACCACCCGGTTTAAAGAAATTTCATCAAATTGGTAATTGTTATAATTTTTTTTTAAAAAAAGTAATAGGTTGATATCAAAATTTAACATATATTCCCCAATCACAAAAAAGAATTTCGTCTGTTTTTTACGACCATACAAACTTTTAAGTTTTGTCAATCCATATTTTTTTTCTTTCAACCAGACTCCATCATCATCATGTCGTCTCTTTCAAACATAGTCACGATGTCCAACTGTATTGATTGTCGTTCAAATCAATATTGTTTTTTGTTGTCAATTAGATTTGTTTGTCGCAGTTCAACTCAAATTCGATTTTTTGTTGTTTAATAAAGTGCATTGTATTATTTATATTTTGGTATTCTATCTTATTTAATTTAGATATTCTTAATTATTTGAACTTTATTTTGTTTATTATATTCTATTATTTTAATTTTGATTTGAATTATTTTAATTTATTTTATTGTAATTCTTTAGTTTGGTCAAAATATTCTTAAATGATTGTTGAAATGAAATGTAGAACTATGTTATGTTATATTATGTATTATTGATATTCTTGTATTAAATTTGTAATGAATTTTTGAAATATTTATTTCATTAAGTTGAGAACATATATAATAACATATGACATATCTATAAAATTTAATTTTATATTATTAATTTATTTAATAAACGGTTTGACAGTAGGTTTAACCAATTATATCTTAAATCGTAAATTTTACCGATTTAATCTCCGGGTTTTTAAAACATTGATATAAATGATTGGAGACCCATAATCCAATCGATAAAATTTAATACTATATTAAATTAAAGTTTTGTCTAACTCATTTTTATAAAATCGACTTTCAAAATAAGATATGTCACACTAGATAAAAAAAAACTTCAAACTCTACTTCTAACTAATATAAAACTTGAAATATTCCTAATAGAAATTATTGTCAATACAATGTTTGAAATTTCAAAAAAAAAAAAAAAGAAAAAAACTAAATGTCATAATTTAAAAGAAATATAAAAAGTATTGGATCGTGAATTCAATGACATTTTTTTAATATACATTAAATTTAAATTAATATATTACAATTGTTTTTATTTTTATATAGACAAATATTTATCTAAAATATAATTTTTATTTTAAGTAAATTCAAATTAGTAATACATTATAATTATTTTGAAAATATAAAATAAAGTTTAAACTAATTAATTAATCAGTGACAATCAAATATTTCTCTAGTGTTAGAACTGTGTATGCAACTTAGATTCTTAGTGATCATTTATAGAAAATATATATATATATATTGGTTAATTTTTTAAGAAGATTTTTATTAGAAAGTGAACTAAAATATTTTGGATTTTGAGGTATGTTATATTATGTGTTATTGATATTTTTGTATTAAATTTGTAATAAATTTTTAAAATATTTATTTTATTAAGTTGAGAATATATATATATATATATATATATATATATATATATATATATATATATATATATATATATATATATATATATATATATATATATATATATATATATATATATATATATATATATATATATATATATATATATATATATATATATATATATATATATATATATATATATATATATATATATATATATAATAACATACAACATATCTATAAAATTTAATTTTATATTATTAATTTATTTAATAAACGGTTTGACACTAGGTTTAACCGGTTTAATCAATTATATCTTAAATAGTAAATTTTACCGATTTGATCTCCGGACTGATTTTTAAAACATTGAGACCTATAATCCAATCGATAAAATTTAATACTATATTAAATTAAAGTTTTGTCTAACTCATTTTTATAAAATCGACTTTAAAAGTAAGATATGTCACTCTAGATAAAAATAATTTCAAACTCTACTTCTAACTAATATAAAACTTAAAATATTCCTAATAGAAATTATTGTCAATACAATGTTTGAAATTTCAAAAGAAAAAAGAAAAAACTAAATGTCATAATTTAAAAGTAATATAAAAAGTATTGGATCATGAATTCAATGACATTTTTTTAATATACATTAAATTTAAATTAATATATTACAATTGTTTTTATTTTTATATAGACAAATATTTATCTAAAGTATAATTTTTATTTTAAATAAATTCAATTAGTAGTACATTATAATTATTTTGAAAATATAAAATAAAATTTAATTTAATTAATTAATTAATTAATCAATGACAATCAAATGTCTCTCTAGTGTTAGAACTAATATAAAACTTAAAATATTCCTAATAGAAATTATTGTCAATACAATGTTTGAAATTTCAAAAGAAAAAAGAAAAAACTAAATGTCATAATTTAAAAGTAATATAAAAAGTATTGGATCATGAATTCAATAACATTTTTTTAATATACATTAAATTTAAATTAATATATAACAATTGTTTTTATTTTTATATAGACAAATATTTATCTAAAGTATAATTTTTATTTTAAATAAATTCAATTAGTAGTACATTATAATTATTTTGAAAATATAAAATAAAATTTAAATTAATTAATCAGTGACAATCAAATGTCTCTCTAGTGTTAGAACTAATATAAAACTTAAAATATTCCTAATAGAAATTATTGTCAATACAATGTTTGAAATTTCAAAAGAAAAAAGAAAAAACTAAATGTCATAATTTAAAAGTAATATAAAAAGTATTGGATCAAAGGCTCCAATGACATTTTTTAATATACATTAAATTTAAATTAATATATTACAATTGTTTTTATTTTTATATAGACAAATATTTATCTAAAGTATAATTTTTATTTTAAATAAATTCAATTAGTAGTACATTATAATTATTTTGAAAATATAAAATAAAATTTAAATTAATTAATTAATTAATTAGTGACAATCAAATGTCTCTCTAGTGTTAGAACTGTGTATGCAATTTAGATTCTTAGTGATCATTTATAGAAAATAATAATAATTAGAAAATGAACTAAAAATATTTTGGATTTTGACGTCATCACCCGTTCAGTTGGTCTCGAAGACCTTGTGAATGACTGTGTCAATCGGCCAAATTCCTTGGCAGGACTGGCAAAGGCTCCAAACACATCTCAGCCCTCACACCCGAAAGTGCGAGACCAGCCCCAGCTCAAAGATTAGGCCCAGGGACTTTACTGAGCTCAGCCTAAGCATGAACCCATTCACATCGTCTCAATCCAGTTGACTATTATTGCACTCTCCCTTATTATAAACACCAATACAATAGTTTATATGAACGATGTGGGTCTATATTACCACCTATTCTAGAATTTAAACACTATTTCTCCTTGGCTAAAAGAAAAATCCGAAACTACTTACTTTTTCACACTCAACTAACAACAGGAAACAAATTAGGCACACTAAATGCCTTCATTAACATGCCTTAAATTTCAATATTCATAAATAAGCATATTAATCAACTCCACCTGAGAAGCATCATGGCAGTAAGGAACATCTAAAATTCAAAGTCAAAAACAGCGTATCTGCAATCATTTTCAGGCAAAGATGCAGTGAAATCATCATAGCTCTCAGCAGGGCCACCAGTTTTTTCGACCACAACCTCTTTCGTCTTCTCATCAATTTTAAAAATCACATAGCGGTGCACTTTCTTCCTCTGCAATTCCTTGAATGTGCTTACACTGTGCTCAGCAACACCCATCCCAGAAGATGCATTTCCCTACAACAAAGATATATATTACTATTATTTACACGGAAATTCCAATCTTTTATTTTCGAACTCGATATCTATGCAAAACTGCCTCATCACGTTGAAGACGTGTCTGGTGTCTGATATGTGTGTCTGATATGTGACGAGCCCCGATTGCAAAAATAACTTCATGCAAGAGGAAAAATGAAGATTACATTTGACAACATATGTTATAGTCTAATTCATTAATTCTATTGGAATTTAAACCAAGGAAATGCATCAATTATGTCATTTCTAAGCATGGTAATGACCAAACCAACATGATACTTAAAACATGACAAAGTTTATTCAAATATGATCATATTTCTTTGGGTTTTTTTTTTTGAGGCCCAAAATTTGTAGTTGGAAAGAACATCAAAATCAGCAGTGAATCAAACAAATCCGACAAAAACATGGCATAAAAAACAACATTTGATGAAATCAAACCAACAACAGCATGGTATTAAAGGGGAAATTTTTGCAATAATACTAAACAGAAGAGGTGAAGAAAAATAGGCATAGATGAATAGATGAGAGGAGGAAGAAGGAAGAGGAAAAGTAAGCTTACCCTTCCGATTCCCATTCTGAAAGCCATGGTTATTCAGCTGTTACAGTGAGGAGTCAAGAATTTTGATGGATTTGTAGAGAAAATGAGAGGAGAGAATTATGTGGAGACAAAGTATGAGTAAATGCAACCAGCCACATAAGTTAAATATAATTTTTATGTATATAAAAAAAATAGTGAAAGAATAATGCTGGTCTTTAAAAATAGTCTCTCTAATTTTCATTGAAATTTGAGAAGTGAGATAAATATTATATACTCTCTCTATTTTAGAATTCAAGTAGATATCAGTAGATTAAGTAAGTTCTATATAAAAGTAAGAAGTATTTAAATATGAACAGCTCTATCCGTTTTTTTTTGTTATAAATTGTTTTTCACTTTTCATATATATTAAAAAATATAATAATTATAATTTAGAAAAGATAAATTATGAATGATAAGACAAAACATAACTAAAAAGATAGAGAATAATAAATATTTAAGAGTATAATGAGAAAAATAACATTAATGATTCATTGATGAACTCCAACCTTATCCAACATAGCATACTATTCCATTGTAATGACGAACTCCATCCTTAGCCAACATGGCATAATATTCAATTTCACTAAGTGGCTAACATAACATAGTACTCAATTTCACTAAGTCTATATGCTTCTCACCGTGTCTTTCGACTACGCCACCTTCGACCAGAATCCCCTTACGTGATTCTCGACCTCGAGTCATTTTGGTCTTGTTTGGCCTGCTTTATTTTATTTTCCACGTGACACATTTATGGCTAGTCTCATGAATACTTGCCATTTATAGTCAAGTCAAAAAAATCCAGCGTAACAAATTTCCCCCAAAAAGGTCATGTTTGGTTTACATCAAACAAGAGAGATGTGACCTTTTTAATCACATTTTTTCGACGTCGTTTCACTTCTGCTGACATCATTGTCATCATTACTCTTTTTACGATGCATTTTCATATTCAAGAGATTTGTTTAGAATCTCATCATCACTCATCATTCTTACTTCCTGGGAAGACGTGGATTTTCACATTTTTAGTAACTGCTCCCACTCCTTATTAATGCGTGCATCAGAATCCCACGCAATCTCTTCAATCACTCCCATGTCGTTGTCAGGTGTTGGATTCAATGCATGCACTGAAGATTATAAATAGTTCCCTTCAGCTCTTTGCTTTCTTTACTTCGTCTTCTTGCATTCTTTCTCCTTGTAAAAACTCCAAACCCCATTTTGACATCTCTGTTTCAGAAAACTTCTCTCCTTCACCATGACTAAGAGCAAAGTTTACTTCAAACCATTTAATGGTAACAATCCACTGGCTTTCGTCATTCCTCCTTCTGAAAGCAAAGAGGTGAAGGATTTCATTTCCGAACCTTCCTTTGAGAACAACAAGGGTTTCTCACCCTTCATGAGCAACCATCTCTACGCCTTCTCTAGGACGTATCCTTCCAATCGGTTGCAAGCTTCAAAGGTTTCTCACCTTTTTCCAGGTTATCTACTTACTATGCCTGTTGCGTTTGAACGACGAGCTCTTAACCTATCCTTTATGGTAAGCCTAATCGCGTCTTTCGATCTGCTCCACTGGCTCTCACAAAAGAATACCTGGCATGGCATAAAAGGTCCAAGCCAAGAAGAAAACACACTTGGAAAACATAGGCATTTATGACATGGTCAATTTGTCTAGAACTGGCCCCAGGTATAACCCATGCATGTTGATGGCCTTACTTTTCTTTTGGGAAGGTTCGATGAACACTTTCTAGTTCCCTTGTGGAATGTTGACGCTGACATTGTTCGACATTGCTTCTATCACAAGTTTGAATCTTGTCGGTGCCACTTTTTGTCCAACATTAGAAACGCGACATGAGTTCACCATTGGGCACCCTACCTACAAGAATTTCATCCAAAACCACCATGACACTGCTAGACAAGATGTCTCCGACCAAGAGCACATCATTTTCTTGGTGTTTTGGCTCTCCTATTATGTCTTCTATTCCAATTCCTTGCAGGTGGCGAAGAAGTTCGTCCCCCTGGCCATCCAACTTCATAAAGGATGTGAGTTTTCCCTCAATAAATTGCTTTTGGCCAATCTCTACCAATCCCTTGGACAAGTCTCCAACAAACTCAAGCACCTTCTTGAGAACACTAAAAGTAAGTCTTTTCCCCTCTCTGCCCTCTATTGGCTTTTGCAATTATGGATAAACGCCATCTTCGAGCCAAAACTTTATCTCACTAATTTTGTAGCCCTGATAAGGGCGATTAAGCAAAGGGCCACTGAAGGTACGAGGCTAGATTTACTCAACCTTGACGAAACTCCCACTTCAAATGTTCTCATTAAGTATATCAAGCTCTTCCTTGGCACCAAAGTCTTTGATGCGACCATGACACCTTTTGTGGATTGCTCAGTTGGCCCAGTGTGGCTGAAGAACAAGTTTCCTGGCTCCTCTCCTTCAACTGCTGCTATGACGAACGCGGTTTAGGCCACTTTTCTCACCCCTACAATTTTGACGTCAAGACTTGAGGCTAGTGGCTATGGTTTTGCCTGCTATCAACCTAATTTAGTGTCCATGCAATTTGGCTGCAGCCAGTTTGAACCTTCTTCTCTCTATGTTTGGGAAGGTGACATCTGCTGGTCGGAGCGTAAATTCGACTATGACGAATTTAAGGAATGTACCTAGTATGCTCGCAACCAAGTCCTTGAACTCCCTCTCTTTGAATTCCAATCATTATTCAATGTAACTGCTGAATTCCACAACTAGTGACAAGCTTATCTGGCTACAAACTTCTCAGAGGACAACTTTTTGCAAGGATCTCTAACGCTCTCTCCGAAGTGCCCAAAGAGAAACAAGGTATGTTTCTTTAAGCACCTCTTTTAACTTTCTTTTCCTTTTCTTCCACTGACTCTTAGACCATCAGATGAGACTGAACCTCCCACTGACGACAATGTCGAAAGTCCTTCTGGGGTGAGAGATATAAAACAACCAGAAGATCCCAAGAAGAAGGCACATTCTTCTTACTCAGAAGCCATGTTTTATTTTTCTAAGGCATTTCCTCATACGTTTGTTCCTTTCAGATTCAACAACGAGATCCTGAGTCCCCCACTCCTAGACACAAGAAGAAGAAAGCGAAGACTTCCTCTGCCACCAAGACTACTACTACCCCAAGAACTACTCTTACACCACTGATTACTGCTGCCCCTAGTCAGGTATTGTCATACCCCAAAATTTACCCTCAGATTTATTGATCTTTTACATATCATTCTAGGTTAATTATCCTTGCATAACTAGCCAATTATCAGCTTTTGTTCGTGTTGTTTCACTTATGAATCAGGATTGAACTTCAGAAGCTTCAAAGGTGTTTGAATTATGGTTGTGCACATAGAAGGTTTTCTGTTGAGTTGGGCTTCCAGTGGTCAGAAATTATTTCCTGCAGTTATTATACTCAAGTTTGAGGCAAAAATGTTGAATTTTCATTTGTTTAACGAGTGCCTATTGGAGGTCCACCAAAGCATGCCTTCAGTTCTCTGAATCCTGAATCAGGATTCTAGATAATTAGGGTTTCTCATCCTTGGAGTTTATGATTGACAAATGTCGTTCAGCTGAGTTTTGTCTGAGGCGAGCAGGTTGAATGTGTGTGGAATTTAGCTTAGTTCTATGGGTGTTGAGTTGATTTAAGCCAAGAAAGAGGTTTACTTTCATTCTCAAGTCGAGTGTGGTTTAGATCAGAGATGCACGGTTGAGGATGACCAGATCAGGGTCAATGTCAGACTTAATTCATCTGGTGAAGTCAGGTTGCGGGGTCCTAATCATATGACTCAGGATTTGTGACAGTTAAGATTTTAAGTGTTTTGGTGGCACGTTAAAAAAACCCATATCCATCCCGGAACCATTTTATCACCTTTGTTATTCATTTGTTTCCAAACCACTTTCTTAGTCCATGTTTCATTTTTCTATTTTTATCCATTTATCTATTCCATTACTATCCTTTTTTTTCATTTCAGTTATCCATTTTCATTTCTCTAAATCCAATTCATCTCAACAAAAATGATGAGGAAAATGTTCAGCCCATGTCCGTCGTACTCGACGGGATCCACACATTGTTGTCTATTCAAAAAGGTGTGTTGAAACTATCTAGCTAAAGGCTTAAGGACAAAAGAAAAAGAAAGAGGAAACTGACTCGGCAGATAATCGCCGCTCTGTGCCTACGTACTCCCTCGTGCAATGGGAAAGTCAGAGTCAACGTAGTTCGCCTAACTACGGCTAAAGAAGGGGGAAGGTTGCTCGCCGAGACATCGCATCTCGTGCCTACGTACTTTCGTCTGGTACGAAAGATCATAGAAAACGTAGTTTGGGCTAAAAGGACTACAGGTTGGTTCAAAAGTTTTTAAAGCCCGAGTAGGGTTAATAGATAGTTCTAGCAGTTGGTGTATGCAGCTCGACCTTTGGAGACTTAGGCGTTACCGTTTGCAACTAAGAGTTAACGACACTCTTGTTTATGAAAATATTTTCCAGATTAAGAACCCCAAAGGGTGAAAAAGAGTTTGAATTGTTTTTGTGTTTTTTAGAGAAGAAGTGTTTTGAATTTAATTTGCAACTCATGTCGCACTAGAGACTATGACCTAAGAGCGAATGTGTTGTATATCACCCAAAGGGTGTACACTAAACACTCTAGGTCCTTGAGAGGAGGCCCCTCAATTACCATTTCTCAAGTAGCTTAAGGCTCATAGCGTGCTACACTTGTCATTCTTTATTAGGTGTTTTATGAAAGTTTGAAGATGAGAAGAGAAGAAGGAACACTAATGGGAGACTAATCAATCCTAAAAGTTATCATGCAAAGTGAACCTAAAGTTGAGTTTCAAAAGAGAACTACCTAATATATCATGCATAGTTAGGCACCTAATGTCTATCATAACCTCAAGAGGTTAGAGAACTTATGGGGAACATGGGAAAGAAGAGCAAAAGAAGAAGAAGAAGAAGAAGAAGAAGAAATGCATATGCAAATGAGAATGCAAACATAATGCAACACATAGA